GGCTGCATTGTCACACTCAGCTGGAGCCAGCTAAGCTGATTTGTCTGGGCTTGCAAAACTCCCCTTTTACAGGCCAGTGACTATGGTCAAAGGACAAACCGACAAGGTCTCATCTTGGCCCCAGCTGCCAAAAGATCCACCCCCTCCACCTGGCCCTACAAGGAGATGGGAATTTTTGAAGACTACTAGGTTTCTTTCTCACTGCTGGACAACCAGGTCTATATGCTGCAGGAGCTTCCAGGCTCCCTAATTCTCCTGTCCAGGGCTGGAAGTCTCCTGCCCTAGCCTGGCTTGCCAAGTGGCTAAAATACCCATGCCAGCACTGCAAGCCAGTACTTGCAAAATACAGGATAGACAAACATAAGCATAACCATCACTTACTGTTGGCCCAAGGAAAAATGCTTGCACTCTGGTAAGCATATAGTGCTCACCACAAGGCACGAAAGAAGCATCAGCTCAGCAAACACAGGATGCTCCATACCTGGTCACTGCAAGTTTGCTAAAGGAGATGTTGTATTAACAATAACAACAACAAAAAAAAGAAAAGAAAGAAAAAGGGAGGGGATGGGGGGGGGGGGGGGGGGGGGGGGGGGGGGGGGGGGAAGAAAAAGCTCTCTTCCCGCCAAAAATTATGCGGCAGCAGGTCCACAGAGTGTCTGCCAGATGACCCGCTTGTCACACTCATAATTGCTTCCCATCTGGTGTCTGGAGCACACAAAGCCTGGCCGTTTGCCAGCGCAGGACGACGCACAAACTGGCCTACTTCTGGTGACACGGGCCCTCCAGACACCGCTGATCCCCTGTTTCCGTATGGCTGAGGAGAACGTGGCATTCATTTGTAAATTGCCGGCGGCTGATTTATCCGGCTATTCGACCCCGCTCAGCCCAGCTAACGCGCTTCCCCTTCGCTGCGCGGCGCAGCCCCGGCCCCGGTTCCGCGGCGAGCCCTCTCAGGCACCGAGTTGCCACAAACACACACCGGTCGGCGTGAGGAGTAGGCGAACAAGGACGGTGTCGGCCCACACGCCACTCACCTTTAGGATGAGGGCATCAAGACAACTCATCCCTACATGTATGTGGAAACACATCCTCAACTGCTCTGATTTACAAAGCTGATTGCTCTTCCAAACTCTCTTTCCACCTAACGTGTACGCACAGCTCATGTCATTCACACTGTTCCTACAAAGACTTCTGAGATACAAAGTATCACTGCTTATGACCACAATAAGCAGTGTTCTGAGGTGCTGGGCTTTTTTTAAATTTGCTTTATGGGTTTGTTCTATTGATTATTTTTTATTATTTTTTAAAATGTCTACTGTTGTAAGAACTTGATACTCTCAGAAAGCTGAGCAAATATTCTTTAACCTATGGGATGGACTACTTCACAGAGGACGGCACAACACACTCTAAAGAGTGCTCTAAAGATCTGTTGGTTGTGCAACAGCCAAACATCACTTTTACAAGGAGTAACTCTGACCAAGTAACTGGCCAATGGTCAGCAAGGAAGTAAATGCTAGCCAAGCAGAATTCTCCCTCCCCAAAAGCGAAAAGCACCCTTTCCCATCAGACTATAACACAGGACAGTTACAGATATACACCACTGCTAGCCAAGACACAGCCCATTCCCATCTTGCTTGTGCTAAGGGCATTAACGTCCATCTTCTCTGTATCAGAGGGTGTGATGACACAGGAAATCAGAAGTCAGGTAAATAATCCAGAAGACTCTAAAAATAAACCCAAATTAGAACCCAAAATTTCTGTAAAAGGCAATAGCAGGTAGACAGGACTGCCACTGCAATAGCAACTGCATCACTAGGTGACACAGCCCAACAGCAGGCACTGTCAGAGGACTCCTTTCACTTCTGTACCTCACAAAAAAAACCCACACAGCAATGAAGCAGAAGAGAAAATGAAATTAAAAAAGAAAACCATACCACCAATAAAAGCTGATACTGAAGAATGCTATATTGCACATCTGTTACTCCAGATGCAAACAGAAGCTGCACTACTGAGGTTTCTTCATAAGCAGTAAGGCGATATAGTGGGTATGAGCATTTAGATTTTTTCTTCATACAGAAACGTAAGACTGCGTATAAGTGTCCAAGGCTTACCTGTTCCTCCAACACATCACGCTAGCAGAACTACAAGGACCCCATTGTTCCCTTCAGCTGCAGGGCAAGAATCCAACCCACTCAAGGGTTAAGCTGGCTGTCTCCAGGGGAAGCCACACAGACCAGCATGCTGCAGCTTCAAGAGGGACCAATCTTTTGGCTCAGCTGGCACAGAAACAGTAATCCACAGCTTCCTCATGAAAGTAAGCATTTAAGCCTATAAAGATTCAGCTTATCCAACGTCAAGGAAACTTATGAAAAAAAAATTGGATGAGGTCTAGCATTAGAATACATCACTGTACTTTCTGCCTAGGTAGTGAACCTTTATCTGAATATTTGTCATGAAAACAAATGCAAGAATCAATGTTTCAAAATTTTTGCTGTTTGCATTGTGTGTCACCTTGGTCACAGGTATGGTGCAACTGTGGTTCGTTAATATTCAGTGTTAAAACCTCCATTTCACAAAGCTTGATTCGCTTTCAGCATTGTATCAGTTTTAGTTTTGTGCAAATCTAGTAGTTATTCTCATGCAAAATCAAAATAACAGCAGTAGGAACTGGGCTTATTCTCACCAATCAATTCCTTTAAGACCACTTCTTCCAAGTAAAAGTCAGATCCACAAGTAAAGCTTCCAGAGTTTTCAAATAATGAAACTTAGTGTTGTAGTTACTACCAAATTTGCAGTACTGGTTGTCCATCCACTCTACTTTGTTTCATTGAGTAAAGTCAACACAGAAAAATGAATCAGTCACATCATTAGACTTCACTTTCCTTTACCTACATTTCACCTTGATTTCAGACATCAGCAGCCAGCCACAAGAACAAATGCTCTAGTCAGTTCACTTCACTTGTCCCAAGTGATGGAAAACTTTACACATGCAAACATGAGCAGGTCTGCAGGTTATTCATACAGTGGTCTGGCTGTGACAGCCAAATCCCCAGCAAAGCCCCCATAACAGTCAGAGTTTGCTTATACAGCTTAAAGCTAGAGGACATAAATTACCAGGACCTATTTCTGAAGAACTGACTTGTGTTAGTCCCTCCTGTCTTTTTCCTTCAACAGATTACCTTAATTATTTGTCATTTATATTTTGTCACAAAACTGGAAAAAGCATTACAAATTTTGTATCGAATGCCAGTGCTTCTCTCAAAATAAGAGAGTTTAAGTCTAACACTAACTCAAATTAATACATGTTTGTGAGAACTAGTAAGGGAGGGGAGAAAATAAAATCACATTGCACAGCTTACACTTGCATTTACTTCTCAAGACTCAGGCACATATACCAAAATACTTCTACCCTACAAATGAAAGGAATCTAAAAAAAAAGCTTTACACTATGAACATTCATCTCAAATTGTCTTCTATACGTAAGTATTTGTGTTAAAGCTTTGAGAGACAAATATAAACTGATAACCAAATACAAGCAGGCTTACATGCAGTTGGATTGAAGCAGGTATTACCAGGGGACTTCATCCCACTTTGTAACCCACTGATTCCCATGACTGCTGTCTCTGCCCAGTCCCGAAAAGGCACGTCTCTTGCAGTTTCACAAGCACACACATAAAAATGTTTTCAATAAAAGACACTTACAGTAACCTGGTACATAGATGCTTTATTTCTGACATTAACGTGGTCTGTATTGTGAGATTCTCTTATATAAAAGTAAAGTTTGTAGTACAACAAAAACTAAGATAAACAAGGCATTTGTTGCACATTATGTCAAACCTTAGAAGAAAAATATGGAGTAATATGTATCTAGGTTTCATGCAAGTTTGGCTGCTGCATGTACAATTTACCTATCAAGTGAAAGAAATGCAAATGCACACAACATTCAAAAAGTAATAAGATGCCTGACATATGAAAGATTAAAACCTTCCTGCTAAAGTAACAAAGTAGGAGTTAACTAAACGATCCAACCAATACCAACAGAAATTATTACTACTTACCATAAATCTATGCTTAAACTTGGTATAGGTAGTTTTGGTGATACCACTTCTACTGAAATATACCATCCAGATTCTAGATATTAATTCTCTCTTAATGTCTGATTTCCTTTTTTGTGAATTAAATGATGTCTCCAGCATTGAATGTTGCCGTTAAATCCCTTCTGGTAATGCACACCTAAATCTAGTACTGCCAAGAATTCCAACTGACTCCACTAAATTGTCATAGGTGAGGAGTAATCCTGGCATGATGGGCATTTTCTGATCCCTTGCTTATATAGGATTCCCACCCCCCTTGAAATTTTGATGTGAATTAAAAACTGCTAAAAATGTTTGTGCCTACTACTATCAAAGCCAATATCAAAAAGCTCTTAAAAACAAGGATTATATAAGCTTTGAGATGTTTAAAAAAAGTTTAAGAACCCATTACCTTCCTTGTGCCACTCATCACATGTTAAAATTCTCCATAAATAAATTCTTCTCTACCATCTTTGATATTACAGCGTTAGGAACACTTTCCACACCCTGCATAGTACTGGTTGATCTCATAAAGTTAACTAGAGAACCTGACATCATGTAATTTTACATACAGTGCATATGATGCTCGCTCTTTCCATCTCTCATAGCAGCAAGCCGATTCTGCCACTATCTGTAGCAGCACCTCCGGGAGTGGAGAGGAAGAGTGTTTGAATTATAAATAACTAAAACTACAGTGTACAGTTCTATTTACCTGTCAGTATTTGTTGAGAGCACACCATTATAACCTGCTCAAAATTAACTACGTAAAAAATCTCTACAACAAAAGCAAACCAAAACATTTCTTCAAAACCCAAAATAAAGACATAAAATAAGTGCAAATACCTAAAATAGGCAACTAAAGCAAGTGTTGTGACCTGTATACCTTTAAATAGGACAAAGACTTTTCATAAATAATAGAATGTTCTTTTTGCTCTTCAAACATTTAGTCAGTATATAATGGTCAAAGTTAAGTGCAGATACAATTGTTTTGAGATCCAAGGTGCCAAGTTTCTTTAAAAAAAAAAAAAAGAATAAAATATATATATTGAAAAGGCATTAGTTTTTAGTTCCTATGCAGGACAAAGTACTCCTGGGTCTCATGTAAGACCCCACCATTTCTTTCTAAATATATTTAAACAAGGAACAGGAACAGTTGCTGTATAATACAGGTATACCTTGTCATTATGTTGTAGACCAACATGATTTTAGGGCTATAGTGCAATCCTTACATAGATGTAACACGTACAGTATAGATTTTTACACTTCACTGTAATTCTTCTGCTATTCCATATATTTTAAACTTGTCCTTTTTTCATTTTAGCTGTTTTAACAGGAAACAACATTGGCCTCTAGACAACCTGCATACATATAAATATCTACATTTAAGCTTTGAAATGGAAATAAATTATAAAAACAGAATCCTCTCCAATTTACAAAATTTTCCTTGTTCCTACATACTGTACAATACATTCAACAATCATCTCATTTTGAGATTTATGAAGAAAATACTGATGCTTTACACTAAACTTAATTCACCCCCCCTTGCCTACTTCTAGTACCATTTGCAAATAAATATATTTAACACTGTAGTTAATTCCATTGTTTTGCAGCATACCAAAAAAATTAGTAGTGCAACTTTCTATCCTTCCTTTGTACTTCTTTCTGTTGTGTTTCTTTATATACTAGAAAAATGCTACATAAGCAAAAGCATATTCAGTCATGTATCTTGCTCATTTGAAAACCAGTAACAACCTATAAACCTACTCTATATTGAAAATGCTCTAACAGATAAAAAATGCAATGCAAGTAAAAAGAATAAATACGAAAAATAGACCTAGAAGCTCTATGCTGGCAATACTGCAATGCATTTTCCCCTTCTTTATATTATGGTAGGGCATTACTCTTCTAATATTTAAGCAATTCATTGCAGAACTGTTTGCAACATCCTTTCGTAAAGAATGCAAGAGCTTCATGTCTGTTCTTTGTCAGTCAAAAGAAGAAAGGAAGCTTTAAGGTAGCTTTAAGGTTTCCCTTGGCAGACTCTCTCAAAGACAAGACTTAATTCACATGTATCGTACGGGAATCGCGTTCGACATTGTTTCAGTGTCAATGGAAAGAGATGGCTGTCAGTTGCAGTGACCATCACAGTATCAGAGATCTCGAATTGCTGTTGGTAGCTGTGTATGTGCTCAGATATCGCCTCGCTTGCTCAGTCATGATAAGCTGGTCTTCTGTTTTTCCATAAACAACTGCTTCCCAGTCACGATTTGGCTGCATAAAATAAAATTCTGTTAAAAAGATTCTTAGAACAAACTAAAATACTTGAGCAATTCTCATACAACCTTTCAGAGTATTAATAAATTATCAAAGTCTATCAATAATATATATTACTGAGAAGGATCCAATTCTATAGTACAATACCTAAAAACTGCGACAAAGCTCCCTCTCTACCCCTTAATCCAGCTCCCCAGCAGTGCATTCTGTGTTATGCTTCAAGGTTTAACACACGAAGTGAAAAACACTCTTAAGAAGATACTAACTAGTTCAACAATACATAAAAGGGAAGGTAATTAAGTTATCTTCTCTTTGAATATCTTCCCCTTTAAATGTGCTAAGTTCAACAGGCAGAAAAACCCATTATTGACAGTTGTCTGGAGATACCAAGGAAGGCAAAATGGTTTGGCAGCTGAAAAAGAATACTGTGAAGAACTTTACTGAACCAAGTGGCGGCTGTGGATGAATGGTCAGATGTTTTTGGGAATACATTAAAAACGGTAAAGGAATTGGGAATAAAAATGATGAATGGAAGAATAATTGAGCCACTAGTCCTGCTTCTTCCATGAAGCAAAGCTTGCACCTTTGCATGATTTACTGAATCTCAAGCTGATTTGTAGCAGCTCTAACTTGGACCTGACACTAGCAGATTGTAGCATGGTGAAGAATGCAAGATCCTCTTCCTCCCACACTGAGCTAGAAACTGATCCAAACGATCGGTTCTCTATATATATTTATGGAGAAAATGAGCTGTTTGAGTTCCTCTATAAATTTAGCAGAACTTGATTCATGGAAGGGACTTGGGGCTAGAGAGGCCACAAAACTGAGTGGGAATTTCTCTGGGGAGAGAGAAAAAAAGAAAAAGATGGTTCAATGAAAACATTTGTGAGTATAGTATGACTAAGCTCCCCTTTTAGTATTCTAAAGAGCATACTTCTGGGCCAGATAGATATATTTACCTTTGCTGCAATTCATAGCAGTTAATCCTTTTTTTTATTTCTTTATTTTAATATCACCATTAAATGAACTTCGTTCTTCCTTTTCATAAGAAAAGATCAGAAAGTAATACTGTTGTCTCTATACTTAAAAATATCATCGGAAAAGCAATTAAGTAGGACAGGGAAGATCAGGCTCCAGGTGGCCTGTCTTTTTTTGGGGATTTTTTTTCATTAATACAGAGCTGTAGATATTCTAAAAAGACACAAAAACTTTATACATTAACTCCCTATGGGAAAAACTGGAACTGGTACAAAGTCAGGTCAAAGAATCGTTTCCTAAAGCTGGTGATCAAGACACACAGAGGGAAAACTAGCTTCCATGGTTTTACCAGTATGGAAAATATACAGAGGTACAAGAACGGGCATGTTACAAGAACATTTACCAAATAGAATCTGTGGATGAACTCTGCTTAATGAATCCCACTGGGTTTATTCTGAAGTAAGCATCAGCCAAATTTGAGAAGCTTAAGTGCTGTAGAGGTTTAGTTTGCACCAGGTCAAGTTTTTTTAACTCCTAGTCTTGGGTACCCAGACCTGTTTTGTAGGTTTCCCCTATCCTGTTTTTTCCTCCCCACATATAAATCTTAGAGACCACTCAGTGAAACATCAGGGTTGTATTTAGAGAACTTAGCTATGAACTTTGTGGACAAATAACCAACTTACAAGAAATGAGGATCATGGAAACACTGATGGGAACTCGATCACTGATTTGAACAATTCTAGACATTCGGGCAAGACAGAAACAAAACAACAAAAAAATTCTTTGTTAACCTGCTAACAGAGCTAACAGAATTCTTTGCATCCAGACCTGAAGAGCTTTCTCCATTTTGACATTTTTTGAAGCACATGCATTCAGTTTCTTCTTAATTACTGCATTTGCTTTGTCTGCTGGATTTGTATCCTGTTTTTCTGATGTCAGGTTACATCTGTTGTCCTGTATTTCCAACAATGGTGTCATTAATAAAGATGTGGTATATGCATTTTTTGACTATTGACAAAAAAAAAGGTAGGGAACAGGAATAATAATTAGTATTTAATACAGAAAGATTTCGACTGCTGTGTTCAGAGAAGCCAAAATGTAAACAAAGTAAATACTATCAGAAAAACCCTAGGAAAGAATCTGAAGAGAAAAAGTGATGAACAGTATATGAAGAACTAGCATAGCAGGGTCCACAGTCAATACTAAGCATAGTACAACAAGCAGCTGCTAGTATGATTTAGGTATTACTGAGTAGATGGCTTCTTTACTCTAAAGCCACACTACAGCTGATAACATTTTGTTAAGAACAAGAACTTGATAAAGTGGTAACTACAGAACAGTTTTAAAGAAAAAAGCTTGTAATTCACTTCTAGCACAGCTCTTGTGAAAGTCAGGAGAAGGAGACTGGAGTGGAAAACATAAGATTGCATCAGTTTCAGGGAGAGGAACTGCTTTAAGAACTGAAATAAGCACTGGATGGATTTTTCCAGAAGAGTTTTATATGCTGATAATGTCTATGGAAATAAAAAGAAATTAATCCAGCTTCAGTATACCAAAGCATAAGAAAGGTATATGGCAATTTTAAAGAGCAAAATTAGATGAAGTAACAGTGGCATAAGTACTTGTTTGCTTACAAAAACACCCCAATAAACTTAAACCATCTTTAAGTATTTATTCTACCTTAGACGTTAATCCTAAATTATTGTCACACGGATGCACCATTTCTCCCTAAGGATTGGTACCTTTTTCCTTTTAAAATCAGATACTACCACTATCTCTCTTGCTAAGACTGCATGTTCCTGTTGCACAGCATTCCTCGTGAAAATGGAGGAAAAGGAATTTTTCCCCAGTCCTCTGCTTTTAATAGACCACAACATCATAGTGTATCTTGGTTTTAGCTTAATACCCTGGACACTGGTGATGCACAATACATTGTTGTCACAACAAGACATAACTAAGAAAACACCAGGCAATTTGTTTGTGGTTGGAAGGGCTGTAGCACTGCTGCTCCTCTTAAGAGAGATGTTCTCAGGGAAGTGGGGAATTCCCACTAGGTGGCAGAGCACCCAACACCCAAGCAGATACCTAGGCTTGGCACAGAGTCTACAAAGGCATTTAGGAAGGGAATTCAGGAAACCAGCTACAATAATCAGAAAGCAGTATGACTCAAGCACCTTAAGCATTCTTTTGAAGGACTTTGGCTCCTACCTCGAATATAGTCTTGTACCTAATCAAGAATCACTCTTAATCAGAATTAAAAACATACATACATTAATTTAAGAAGTAGACTAAAGTTTTCCTACAAACTACAATACTAAAGATTAATCTATTCAATCATTCAAAACATTGAGTTACTTTTTAAAGGAAAGAAGGACCATCAGCCCCCTATCTTCATGTCTTGGTTGCTGAGGCAGAAGTATTCAAATTCCTTCAGGCAGAGGTAGCACACAAACCTCATCTTTTACATGCTTGGTATTTCTTAAAATATTGCACTATATGAAGCAGGACAAACATGCTGCCTAATATGCAATTAGGTATCTTCAGAACATATCTGCCAGACTGTCAAGTATGCAAAGCACAGGAGCAAGTGTCATCTCCTCGTATATTACAGAGCTTCCACATGCTGTGTATGCTAAAATTTATAAGTAATCAGCATGGGAACAGCTGCAGTACCAAACCTGCAAAGCATTCACATTACTTTACCAGTCCTACTCTGAAGTCCTGGAAGAAAGAAGTCACGTGTGAATTCAAGCCCAATGTTCAAGTATTTCTTAAGTATTTAAAATAGTATTTCAAACTAAATGTGATTTTCACTTTCTAGATATATGAATCTAGCCTTAATCCAAAACCTGTATTTTAGTTCACAGAACAAAAGACACACAGTTCCACATTAATACTGCTGCCAGTGCTGCTCTTCAGTAGTTTAATACTTACCTGTACATCTAAACTATTATCTTCTGTGAAGCGCTGGGCACCAACTTCTTCTTTTTCCTGTGAATCTAGGACCAGTGATTTTCTGACTTTTTTAGAAGAGTTGTGCTGAAATAAACATTTTGCAGAGGAAAATTGTAAAATATTATTTAAAAGCAGTTATTTTCTATTTGAAATTATTATTGTCATGTTACCTCCTGCTTGCAGCTTTTATACACAGTGTCATCTTCCTCCTTGGGAAATATATCTGTTCCAGTTTCCTCTTTCAAAACTTCCCTAATGTCTTCCTCCGAGAAGGCAAGTGGTTGTGACTAAACGTTAATTAAAATTGAAAAAGAAAATACAGGAAGTCTATTAGTTGTTAGTTTTTACCACATCCTATGTTCAGCTAATGTAGGCTAGAAAAGAGATCTTGCAAAATACAGCAGCAGATGAAAAGATTTAAGCTACTGTAATTAAAAACTTCAGGGCTACATTTCACAGCTATGGAGATTTTTTAAAGTTAATTTTACTCCACATTATTTATAGCCAGATAAAAGATATACATGCCTTAAAAATGCAAGGTAGCATTGAAGAAGACAAACTATTTGTTTGCATTTATTAGTAATGGTTATCCACTGACAGAAGGGGTAAAAATACTTTATATATACTAAATACCTATATAAACACATATATACATAATACATGCATACGGTACTAAAAAACTGTACCAGGAATGTATGACTTGTTGGGAAAGGAATTTATATCAATTTTAACACAAATCTTTGCATAACTGATCGTTCTAAATACAGTGCAGAATTTCACAGAAGCCATACAGATGGCTCCTTTGTGTACCAACAGGAGAAGCATTCCCTTAAGCCCTCAAAATTTGATTTTGAACAGGAGGTTAACAGTGGACAGAAACAGGAATGCCAAACCACTCCATTTGCATAGTGAGGGACTGTGAATCTATAGGGTAACACAGATGGTGCCAAACCCTGTGGCAAAGTCTGAGCTGCCTTCTGTGTTTGCAGAAAAGAAGTAGTCAATATATATTGGCTGGAATTTTTTCAGAACTTGAAAAGCATATGTCTACTGAATTCCAAAAGTTATTACGCATTAACATACCTTAGCTAGGCTAGGAAGAGAACAAAAATTGAATTCATTTGGAACAAACAAACAAGCAAAAAAGTAACATTATCCATAGTCAATAACTACAAAAAAAAATCTCCTGTGACAGCCAGAAGAATCAGAGGGTCGTGAACTGCTATACTAAGATTTTTGGATTTAGGATGAAAAAATTACAGATGTCACTCAAGTTTACCATACTGTGGTGAACATCTAGTTTTAGTCCTAGCACTGCAGAAGAACAAAAGCCAGAAAACAACTCAGCTCTTACATAGTCCAGAGGATTCAAACATAATGCAGTTTTTCAAGTCAAACTTTTAAAATAATGAGGTCAGTCATACTCATCTACAGCAGCTTGCTCTCACTAGATTACTCAGTTAGAGGACCCACACCCATTCTCTCTCACTTACAATTTTTCTTGGACGAAACAGAATGCTAAAGTATTCAAATTAAAATCTCAGACAATTATGTAACCACCTGTAAGGTGATACATAAGGTTATACACAAGGAGAAAAAAAACTCCTGATGGTTTCCTGGAAGACCCCAACACCTGGGAAGGCATTTCCAGAAACCAATAAGAGAGAAGAGTGATATGAAGGTAACACTGGACTTTTTTTGCAAACATCTTGCCAAAGGGAACACAGGAAAACAAACTTTGGGCCTATGTCATTTGTCTATCACCCCAAAATTAGTGTATTGCCACTCAAACTGTCTAAGAAAAAGGTTATAAAAAGAGATTGGACATAAGAAAAAACGGGGGAGAAGTTCCATCAACACTGCGAGAGACGGCTGATGAGCTAGTCTTTCTCCTTCCACTCCTGGGGATGCCTGGAAGGTGAGACGTATCTTATGCATGCTAATTACTTGCTTCTAAATAACTAGAGCTTACTTTTGTTTCATAGTATTCTTAGTAAGTTGCTTTGCTTTAGAGTGTATGCTTATACCTTGCTTTATTATTATTACTACATGGTTTAAATGTGTTCTTGCAGTTAAACCCTATTCCAGACAACACAAACCCTATAAATTGTCACAAATTTGTATTAACAAATGTGTTAATTCGTGAGCTGTTAAAGTGAGTCTGGTTTTAGGTGCTGACAGTTTCGTCGATGACGAAATAACTCACAGGATAAACTTGCTGAGGGGTTTCTCTATCTCTATGAAGTGACGTGAATCTGTTAAGCGAAGGGTCTCACCTAAGGAGACGCTAACAGACTGTATTAGACATTAAAAGGGACACTGATAGACAAAAAATAAATTAATACAGGTTGGACAGAAAATTCTTCTTTTCTGCCCCTTTAACATGACACTATCTTATAAGAGGTAGAGTGTTAGCAAGGCTAGACAAATTTAAAACAACTCACAAATATGAAACCAATGCATTTAAGATTACTATGTATGTAATTATGGACTATATATACCAAATTACCATTCAAGAAGAAAATGCCTCCATACTACACTGAAGGATATGAGTCTAACAAACAAATCTGAAGCATTTTTGATTGACATTCTAGGATAATAAGGCAAGTAACTGAAACAACAGCAGTTAGAAAATGCTTTTTAAGATAACACTGAGACTTACAGTACCTCAAAACCAAGAGGGAATTTAGACTTCAACAAAGAAGAAAATAAATAGCATCATCACATACCATAAGTCTGAGAGGACCATACTTTTTTTCCTGAGCAGCCAAAGCATTTTTAAAAGGAGTTGGTGTCCTTGGTGTTGAACCCAAAAGAGATCTTCTCATTGTGGGAGTTCTAAAACTATCAAGCATAGAAAAGTGTTCATACATGCATTTTAATATTTTATCATTAGTAATGTAATAAAATTAATCTAAAAACATTTTAAAATACCTTAATTTGCACAACAGATATCACCGCTATGAATCTCAAAGTATTAAGATCACCATAGTATTACCCCAGGTGTATTAAACTTTAATTGGATTTTGACAATATTTGTTTTCATTTGAGCAACACCACCAGACGTTTAATGTAATAATCCTACCCCACATTTTCCTTTTGATCTTGTGGTGTCATTTCCTTGTGTAGAGGAGTTGTAATAAGAACTTTCTGCCCACAGATTGGAGTCGACGTAAATGCAGGATTTTCAAAGTTAAATTGTTCACTTCCAGAGCAAGTGTTGAAAAACTAAGAAAAAGAGAGGAAAAAAACCTAACAAACCTTATAGGATAAAGCCTTACCATTGTACTGAACAGTAAAAAAAAACCCAAAATTATACGCATACATCTGAAAGGCTTTTACTGACAAACCCAAACACATTATTTTTGACTTACACTAGAAGACATTTCACAGAATCACAGAATCAACCAGGTTGGAAAAGACCTCCGAGATCATCAAGTCCAACCCTTGATCCAACACCGCCATGGCTAGTAGACCATGGCCCTAAGTGCCACATCCAGTCTCATCCTAAAAACCTCCAGGGACGGTGAATCCACCAACTCCCTGGGCAGCCCATTCCAATGTCTGAATACTCTCTCTGTAAAAAATTTTTTCCTAGTATCCAACCTAAACCTCCCCTGGCAGAGCTTAAGACATGCCCTCTTATCCTACTGCTGGTTGCCTGGGAGAAGAAACATTTATTGCTGAAACCTTGATTTTCCCCTTAAAATCCCTACTGTTTAATTAGGTCACAGAGACAAAAAGTCTCTATCAACAACTATTTGCATGAGAAAGTGTGAGCTCAGACACAAGTTGGTCGCTGCTGCTGCCGCCCTCCCTCATCACTCTTAAAAACAGAGGAAATAGGTTTATTTAACGATTTATGGTTTATTCTTAATATATTTACCCTTATGCAGATGTTTTAAAAAGTTTTTGACATATTTGTTTAGGCTACAACATATGACTAGGGAAGAAACTACTTATAATTTATAACTTGCTCACTGCAGTCCTCAAAGTCATCCATATTTAAAAATAAACTCACCTGTGATGGAGAAAACGGTAGTGTTTTCACTGGTGTACGCTTTAGTGCAACATTGACAGCATCATTACACAAGCCATCATTCAGATCACTAACTGGTGATTGCCCAACACGCAATCTCTTTTTCTTTCTTAGGATAGCAGGTGGATTGCTGAACTTAGTTAAGTTTGAGGTTGTTGAAAAAACGGTTTCTTCGTCACCACTGATGCTACTGCTGTGGTTTTTGCCATCAAGCATAACGCCAACATTATACTGGCACTCAGGAGCTCCTTCATTGTGTTGAAGCCGCATGAGTTTTACTGGAGCTGACTTGACAGGAGATACAACAGCTTCTGAAAGCTCAAAACAGGTGACATCACTCCACGCTACCGGATCCTATGAGGCAAGATACAAAATACTCAAAACACTAGCATGCTTATTCAAGGTTATTTCACAATGTCCAAGCCAGTCTATCAGCTCTCTACCTCCAGAAGCCATATACTGAATTATTCTCCCTGTAACTTTCATACAATCCTAAAACACTGAATATTTTAAAAAATAATTATGTTTAAACAGCGATAAAACATTTGATATGGCTGAAACTACAGACAAGTACAAAATAAGGTAATTTTAAGAGTATTTTACACATACTCTGTAAGTTGATATTCCTAAATAAACACTTCTTTTTAAGAAGAAATACAAACTTACAATTTCCATAAGATCTAGTGTCTCTGCAAATTCTGGAATGGTTTGTAGAGGTGTTAACATTCTATTTGCTTCAACACCCAAATACTTAGGTGGTGAATTCTGCTGAACAGGTGTGATGCGAGCCTCATCCATGCTGTAGAAATCACTTGTTTGTTCCTCAAGGCTACTTAGTGTATTAGGCATACAATCCTCCATGACAAAACTTCCAGACCAACAAGGTAAGCTTCCAGCTTGCTAAAAAGTTATGAGGAAATACATTAATCTTACTCAACTTCAAGGTTGAAAAGAGTAAATTATGTGACTGCAGGGCAGGAAAAAAAAAGTAGTGTGGGAAGACTACGCATAAGTATTAATTTTTGCATTTTCAAATACTAATAATGTGTTTCAATTAATGCAGTTAGTCTTCTCCTTACATTAACATACACAACATTTTCAAATCGTGTAAGGTTTTTATGTTACCTCTCATTCATATCTCATACATGCTTATAACTTAGATAATTATGGGTTGCATTAGAAGCCATCTCTGATCCAAGTTTTCTGTATACCTGAACACCAGTATATTATGAAGTAATCTTCACTAGAGAACACAGGTATATTTCAAGATGTTTGTAGAATGCGAAATACTTCTTGTTTGATCCGATTTTTTTAGGGCAAATTCTGCATTAATAGTTTACTTAGCTTCTAAATGGTTATCCCATTTTAGGAGACTGCTTAGTACTCAAGAAACAGATTTTAATTTTCACTGGAAATCTAGAAGCAAAACAGATTCCACTAGATAAGCAGAGCATTCCACTGTTTCAAAAGAATGTCAGTGATAGCTCCACCACATAAAACTGGAAGTTCACCTGTAATCTAAATTAGCAATCAATATGGATGGGTTGGTCAGGTGCCTGATGTTCACAGCCTTTTGAGGAAATCAATGACTGTCATCTGCAAGTTACCCTAATTCCACTGAATTTATGCATAAATTGAGTACAATGTCTGCTTATTTACTGTTAGTCATGTCCAAATGTAGATATTAGGTATTATAATATATAATACCTAAATATATAATACAAATATAATATATAATATAAAATTATAATCTACAGGACATTTTGAAATTAAATAGGGCAAAGCCTATGTATTTTTCACCTGCCTCTGTTGAGCAGATTATCAACATTGCTAATCTATAAAACTGAACGGCAGGGATATCAAATGTGTTATCTCTTGAAGAGGATTAAAATCCTGGGTCTTAGGAACAACTGTCAAACTGCTGGTCACATTTCTACTGTCTTCACAGTTTAAAAGGTTAAAACTGCACTAAAAATAAGTTGTCTCAGTCCTAATATATAGATTTGGTTTACAACTCAATAGCCATAGGTTTGATTTTAGGTCAGGTGAAAAAAACACACTAAACCAAACAACCAATTGCTGAAGATTAATCTCAGTAATGCATATCAAATATTTACAGTCCTTACAGAAGACATTTGTTTTCTTCTGATTTCAGTCTCTGCTGACATAAGTAGCAATTCGAGTTCCTTTATTTTCTTTTCTTTATCAGGATCATCATCAATAAATGGCTGCTGAAAAATTTAAGAAAGAAAGCATTACTATTTTCCACTTCCACTACCCCTTCACAGTAAAAATTCTACATTACAACATAGCTGTATTTTTAACAGGAATCCACACATAAAGGGAACTGAGTTGTTCAAGTTGTATCATATTTTGTAGTACAGTAGTCACTCACAAGCAAAACAACTCCAATTACCAGGAGATGGATCTGATGTTATAGCGGTATACAAGGTAGTATTTTAACACATTTCTAACATGGCCTGTAAATGGTCAGTGTGCTATAGCTATGTTCTATGTTAATAGAACCAACAATGTTGGCACATTGGAATATGTGCTCATGATTTTGTGTGCTTTCTAAAGTTTTGAGTTATTTATCCTCATTAAGTGTGTAAGAAAGTGTTTCAAGTTAGCATTTGCAGAGTGTCTACACAGGCAGTCCTACCACTACTATCAGAAAAGAAAATTAACTAATTGGCTTTGGTTGGTTCGTTTGTTTTTAACCTCCTTAACACTTTCCATTACTGTTATAAACAGGTAAGTAAGGATATATGCCAAGAGTTTCAAAACTAGTCATAATCCTGAGTTTAGAGAGTACTTCCAGAAGCACAAAGTATCATATTTTCCTGTGTATAGCAATCCATAATGTCAAAGGCCATATGAGGCTTTGTTGTGACTTGTATTCTTACACCGAATCAGGGAAGAAAATGCAACATGAAACAGATGACCTGCACAGGAAAACTTCAGGTTAGGTAAAGAGCTCTGCAGAATGCCTCTAACACATCTAGCACAAACAAAACATGCATTATTCCCTGTGTCAAAATAATTTTTTTTACTAATTCTAAAGTTGCAAAAGTTCTTCCAAGGAGTCATACCAGAAGCAAAGATCTACATTCAGTCTGCAACATGCGAGGAACTTCAGATATATTCCAAGCAAGCCCAAAGAAGCAAAAGGAAATAACATATCCAATTTTTATTTGTTTTAAAGTTCCTCAATACTTCAGCATTTAGAATGCTGCAAAAGAGCACCTTCAACTGATTGAAAGACATTTATCACTGAGAAGGAAATAAAAGCTATTGAGAACAAAAAAGCACAGTCAGAACTGTAAGTCACAGTAAATAATTTTAACTGACAGTTTTTCAGATATATTTATTACATATATATAAGTAGTACAGTCCTGCCTTAAATGTCTCATAAGGTGGTAATACTAACAGGTCACAATTTTAACCTCATGATTTAACAAGTTTTAAGTCATATTTCTGTCAGAAATAAGGCCAAACATCATGTTTCTGGGAAATATAGAGAGCTCCATTTTTCCTATCTAGAAATACCAATGATGCCAGCAAACCTAATTATAGAGGAACTGATATAAATTTAGGTGAATGATAGACTAACAGATATATTGAAGATAGAGGTTTTTAAACTCTTCATTTTACTGTATAATATGCAGTAAATTCTCTTTAATTTATGAAGCCTGTTAACAAATTTACCTGAACTATGTTGGAAGATGATGGAGCATGTTCTAGACAGTTGCCTTCTGGTGAGGCATACTGATATGCTGGAATCTGAAAAGACATAAAACATTTTACAGACCCTCAACAAAAGGAGGCTATAAAATTATCTCTAGTTTATTGTCTGTAAACTATTTATTATGGTTTACAAATCCTAAGTTTCCATAAAAATCACAAAAAATATTCAACCCATCTTCAGTATTTCAGATTTATTTCTTGTTCCAAACCAAACAAATTATTTGAAACTTGGAAATACTTATTACTCTGAATTTTGAACTTACATGCGTCTGAACAGGCATATAAAATTGATTCTGAGTGTGCAAGTGTTCCATAGTCAGACAAGGTTGGGGCTGAAGTTCAGAAGAACTAGTGCTTTCAGACTTTATAACACTTTGCAAATATCCTTCCTGTTCCACTTTTCTCCGCATTGTTGAATTCCAGTGATTTTTAATTGAATTATCAGTCCTAAAATGAAAGTGTAAAACAGTGACTGGTTTCTGCATCTTAAAATTTAATATATGACATAATTTACAGGGTTTGTAGAGTAGGTTAATCTGAAGCCACAAATCCAGAAAGCTCCAGCAGTTAGACTGAAAGTTCTATTATCAGTGGTGGTTTTGGCATAATTACTAGAAGGCTACTCTTCTAAAAACTTCCTTCTACTAAACTTCAAGTCTGCAAGAAATTAAAAGCAGCAAAAGAGAAAGCCTTGGTTCTGACTGTTATCATGGGCGAGAACCTTTTTTATTGGATACTTGGAATGTAAGACAATCACTCTGGGGTTCCAGAGCGTAATAAGGGCACTTTGGCTAGTGTTTGCCACTAGAAGACATCTCTTCTGAAAATGTGACAGTCTGCAATCCCAGCTCTGTGTTTTATGTGCAGCTTTGTGGAAGAACATGTTACTACTCTTTGTGCCCTTCATCTTGTATGGGGAGAAGCAACCATGGCATTTTGACAAGCAGGCTGAAATCACTTTTAACACTAGAGAAGCATTTAGGGAAGAGTGGAATATAACTGCATTACAGTCTAAAATACTAGCAATATTATTCCTAGCCTTAGAAAGAGGTATACAGAAACAAAAATTGCTTAAAGTCCCATTCTTCATTTAAGCTTGACTCCAAGAAGTATTCCCCTTTTTCATCCCACTAGTGTTAGACTCTAAAAATCTTCTAGGTCTAGGATCTCTACCATCTTCAACTAAGAGTCATCTAAGATTTATTTATAACAAACAAGTCAGTGAACTAGGAATTCCTCTGTCAAACTCATCTTCCCTCTCTGAAATTCTACTTAGATGCAATCAGTTCTCACTCCTCCAAAGGATTTTCTGGGAGTCATGGATTGTGTACTTAATCAAAAATTCTAAACACACATATTTTATTCCACTAACATAACAAATGCTGACATTCCTTAGGCACAGCTAGACAGACACCTCTGAACACACAAACTGAATTCAGAAAGGGACAGCTTAACATTGAAATTCAATTAACAGTACAAGGTAAAAGCATTATTTCATTAAACTCTTTATACACTAAAATTTTCTTTTCCACAACCATAGAAATTGCTAATCAGACTTGAAACAAATATAAGGAGTACAATGCATACAATTCATTCTTAACTTAGAGACTTCATGGTGATCAACTAGCTTTGCAATGCATGACTCCTAAGTCTGGACTTCTACAAATTACTAATATTTTCTTTTACAAGTGTCCAGTTCAACAAGTGTTACACACACACAAAAAAAATAATTCTGATCTTAAACCAAGAAAGTCACCCTGAAATGCATATTAATGAAGGCATTTTGTCATCAAGTTTGATATCAAATCATTCCTGCATTATTACTTGCAGTTAACTCTCTTCAGCTCGATTGCAGAGGCTTTTTAAGTGATTTTGAAGGTACCTGCAAAGCATTAGAGGTTTTTTATTGGTTTTATGGTTTTTTAAAAATGCATAATCAAATGCAAAAGATCTTAAAAATTTTTAGTATCTATCAAGATAAACATGTTGTGGTGTAAGTTTCAACAGATGCTCTCTAACTAATAAGTTACATTGGAAAGGGTAGTGAGATGACCACTTTTCATACTACAATATTTAACAAAAACAGAGTTGCAAAGCACCTTCCAGGAAGAAGTTTGGCTATTTCAGCCCATCGGTTTCCCAAACGTTTGTGAGCTTCATAGATTATTCTGTCCTCTTCTTCTGTCCACGAAGACTTTTTTACCTCAGGATTGAGATGGTTATGCCATCTCTCTCTGCACTGCTTGCCTATTCTTCCTTTCAGGTGTTTTGCAATTAGAGACCAGCGCTTTGGACCATACTTCTGAACTAATTCAATAACCTGGAACATAGATGAAAGCACATTACAATTCCAAAACCTAGTTTACCTAATCAAAGACTGAGAACACTGATAAACTCACATTATAGAATAGCACTATAATAATCATCTTGATATGATATTAGACCTAAGGAGGCAGAAAATGACTTGGGGGGTTAAAAATGATTTTTCAAGAAATCAAAAAATTACTTATTAACTCTAAATTCTTTGTGTTTAGAATATAAATATACACTGATGAAAACATTCATTTGTAAGTCTTCTTTCTGTTGCCCATTGCATAAGCTGACATTCCATCTACTTAAAAGCAGCTACAGTTTTTTATCTTCTCACACATCCCAATGTAAGTATCCATGTCACAAGACCCACCAGACATCAACTCTGTGGGAACGAACCTTAAGAAAAAGTGCAGATTCTTAGCAGTCATATGGCAGTTTTATTACAGTAAAAGAGTAGAGTTTCAATTAGTTTTCATTACCCTCTGATCTTCTTCTTTAGTCCAGGGACCTTTAATCAATTCTGGGTTTAGTACCTTCTGCCATCGATGCTGGCACTGAAAATCTGAACGATTCTGAAATAGTTTTAGAAGATCAGTGTAGCTGTTAAACTTTAGAATATATAAATATGTAAGTACTTTCTAGCCAGAATTATTAGCTTATTTCAAATTAAAATGCTTATTTAGACCTTTGTTCTAAGTATAATAGCTAAATTCTCCTTTATTGTTTCTTCTTCCATTTCCTTATAAAAACTTTTCTCCAGAAAAAACAGCCTTGCATGAAGCTCTAATCAAATTACTTCAATGTACTTACTTGATAATTAAATTCAGAACTTACTCTTCTTTAGAGAAAAATTTAGAATTATTTTTGTCCTCATTACTCCACACTTTCTCTGAACTTTGTGGTTGATATACTTTTGACATTATCTACAACTTAAATAAGGAGAGAATTTTTTTAAGGAAATACTTTTTCTTTCAAATAAAAGAATAAACCTTTTTCCAAGTCTCAGATGAACATATTCTCAGTTCTTTACTACAGTGTTAAGGAAAACAGATTTATATCAAGTTTAGTTAACACATACTAATTAAACAACACTGCTTTTGCCGGTCAGGACAGATGGTGCTTTTCTGTAGCTTCACTAAGGATCTTTTGAAATATTGTTCCCAGTTATGAAAGAGAAGTAAGCTTTCACTTAGCTTCCTAAAAACTGTCTGCAGGAAAGGCTTGGTCCAATCCTCAGAAATATGCAGGTAAGAGCCTGCCCCAGCACAGCATACTAGCATTCCTTTTTTAACAGTGGGACATGATTATTTACTCGCTTCACTGCAAGTTCTTGGACAGCAAGTACCAATTGCAAGGTTTTGTTGGGCTTGTCTACAAGTAAAGGTGTTACCATGCTAAAGTGAAGTTAACCAAGCAGCAATCTGCCAGACCAGAAAAAACACCCAAAACACTAATATCTGAAATTATACTGATCACAATACCTTCAAGTTAATCACAAGTAGTAACTGTATGATTAAAAGTACACTAGTTTGTTAAAAAACATTTCCTGGTGAAGACAAGCTGTAAAAGACAGACTCAATACAGAATGGTTGTTCCCATTTTGAGGGGAAAAAAAAATTAAATTGTAGCCTTTTAGTGTTTTTACCTTCCAGACATTTCTGAAGCCATAATATATTTTTGGGAGAAGAGCAAAACAAATGATAGGATGAAACAATAAAATCATTTCAGACTGCCTTAGCTGCAAAAATTAAAGGCAATTGTGTTCCCTCTCTTGAAAGTCACCTTGAAGCCATTTTCACTTTTTGGGGGCAGAACAGAGGGAAGGTTTACTTGTGCCCAAATGAGGCTTTGAAAACACAGAAGTTTGAGGGCCTTTACATGCTAGTAATTGAAGATACACTTGGTTTTCCTAGCAAAAGACCATCAGTAACTAAGTGCTAATTATGCTTGCCTCTATTATTTGGCTTTTGAACACTGCAACAGGTCACCTAAAGAGGCTGTGAAGTCTCCATCCATGGAGATATTCAAAACCCAAAAGGACATTGTCCTGGGTAGCCTGCTCCAGCTGACCTTGCTTGACCAGGGGCTGTGAACCAGATGATCTTGAAAAGTTCCTTCCAACATTAACGATTCTGCAGTGGGCAACCTGCTGAACAATAGCTTTCTTGTCTCCAGAAGCATTTGTTTACATCTGAAGAACTTTTTATTAAAATGCACCTCCATACTACACCTGCAGATCCATATCACCAAACACTGTATTTTCAAACAGTTTAATACACAAGCTTTTTGATATTATCACATTCTCCTCTGCCATTCAATCACTTCATTGATTTTTAGAAGGGGATAATGCACATATAAGGAATACTGATTTGCTTATGCACTCCTTAAATTTAGAAGCTTTGACTTTATTCCCTGATATCTATACTTTGCCACCTGGAAAAAAAAATCAGAAGCATCACAGTTGCACAAATATGATGAGAACAATGAAAAGTTACAGTTGTTCCGCGTTTGGAATTCAAGTCTACGTTTAGCACACAGGAATTTCATACAACCGTATCATCCCACACAGTATTGTAAGAACCTCAAAGGTGTGAGGGGATGCCATTTTTAATTTCTAATATTTGAATATTCAATACCACTTCCAGGCAGTGATTTCAGCCTTAGATTCTAGCCATGTTTTCACAGTAGGCATTTTATAACATTTGTTCAGAAGAGAAACAAACATCATCAATTCTAGTTGTAGGTGCTTTCTACCAGTGCCTCTCATATAGCTGAAGAAACATAAATGTTTGAACCAACAGCTCTTTTACTCATTCCACCTGACCATTTGAACAGAACAAGAAATTTTAAGTGTCAGTAGGAAATTTCCATGACACCTGCTAAGGTTCCATTTGTAATAACTGAAGATATCATCAGGTGGAAAGATTTAGGTATGTTGGGGAAGCAGTCATCACTGTAAAAAAAAAAAACCAAACAAAACCCAAAAAAATAATTTAAAAAAAAATCCCCCCCCCTTTTCCTATGGTGTTTAAGAAATGGATCCCACTCCTTTCCAGCAATCTTTCAGACGCAATCCACTCTCCTAACTGCTTCAGAAGCAACCTGTGAACTGTAGATGTGATCACCAGAAGTAATGTAACCAGTAAGAAACAGGAATATATTCCATAATAAAAACAAATAGCAAGTGAGAACCAAAGGCATCAACTACTTTTGATCATTTCAGACCAGCGTTAGAGCCTGAGCCAATAAGGTTCTCCGAGGTCTGAGCTAGGTCTCAAGTCTATTCTAGAAGCATTCTCTAACATAGTTTTTATTGTTACATGCTTCTGATTTCTATTTCACCCCATTTCCAAACTAGACATATAACCAGATAAACATCAAGAGAACTTAACTGAAACAGAGGTTCAACTTACTTGTAGATGACTAGCAATGAAAGCCCAATCATCTGTACCATTTTGTTCCACCAGCTTCTTTAGCCTTTCATCCTGTTAAGACATAACCTCAGCCAATAAATGTTACATGCTGTCCCAATACAATGCTAAATAATAACATATTTCATGAGCTAACAAGATCATGTAGGAATGAAACTAAAGCCAAAAAAAAGTATTACCTCTTCACGTGTCCATTTCACCTTGCTACATATCTTCTTCAAACCCTTTTGCTGTGGTACTTCATAGTCATGATCCATATACTGAAAGTCATCATCTTCCTCACTGCAGAGTACAACAGAAGAGTGAAGAAGATCAAAACAGAGTTTGAAATACCTCTGAATAATCTTTTTCTCCCCCTAAGTACCTCTGCTTTTTTCAAATATGTACATATTGTTCTAAAATCACATACAGGATTTGCATGATCATAAGACCTACCCCCAGCATTTCACCGTGTCAAAGGAACAGAATTTATTTTAATTTCAAGGCCACAGACTACGATATGGGCAGATAACTCATTCTGAGTCAAGACTTAAATATTAAATAAAATCTACTTTTTAAGATTCATGGCTTTGTAACACATTTGTGAATCTTTATTTTACACAAATGAGCTTATAAAATAGACTGGTTTGCTAATCTGCAAAACACAATTATGATCCACCTCCGTAACTAAAACAACAAACACAAGAGTGTCGAATAAGTGTTAACTTGAGATTTTAAGTGGGCTCCTGACTTCACTAAAAGTGTTGCCTCAGTGTTACAGGCCTTAGATGCAAATCTCTGAAGACAGGTACATTCCAACAAGAAATAACTATGGCATCAGTGCTGAGCCTCAAAGTGCAGAGCCAGAGGGGCAGGCAGCCAGGTACCTCTGCGACTCCACGTAGATCACCCTCCATCTACTGGAGAAATGTGGAACTCCACAGCCTGGATAAACAAGGTCTTCCAAACAGGCGGCACAGAGAAGTGTTTCATGTAAACATCGCTTAAACTTCTGTTTAAGTGACTCACGTTAGTCAGCATAAATTCAAACACATGTGGAAACCTACGTCTAACAACAAGTGCTGCAGTTCCCCTGCATTAATTATAGCAAAGGCCCAAAGAAGGGATTCCCATCCCAATACATGGCTTAAATTAAAAGCAGTTTCATACTGAAAACTCTATTTTTCTCCATTTTATTATCAGTACAAAGTATGATATAAATATCACAAACTCACGTTCAAAACTAAACTTACTAGATCTGCTCAACCTCGATAATTACATCAATTTTTCAACCAAGAGTTAAAAAAACCCACAAACAACCTTTCCCAGTAATGGAATTAACTTGTGCCGGTGTCCTAAGAACAGATTAGATGGGAGATCTCCACATTATTTTCCAGATCAGCACAGCATGCTGATTAACCACATATGCATTATTTGTCATTTCTCATGAAGTATGTTCCTGTTAGCCACAGAGAACACATCTCATTCAAAAGCATTACCACAGGATAGTAAGTGCCCACTCTTGCAGACCCAAAGTATTTAAAGTTGCTTCTACATCCTACACCACCACCTGCATTTGCCCTATTTCGCTTCATGATGCAGTGGAAACAGTAACGCAAACATATTAAAACTCTGGGCAGTTGGTGAAATACAAGGCAGTAAAATTGTCAAAAGGTCAAGTGCAAGTTCTTCATGGTACTTTCAAAGAAATAAGCTACAAACACAATGATTGTAAAAGCTTTGCATTAAGTGGCTTAGGACTTAAAAAACAGAACTTAAACTCAGAAGTAACAAAGTTTTTTCTTCCCTCTCACACTTCCTTTTTTTGTCTTTTGTCCACAGGTAATCAACAAACTTAAAAGATATATCTTGGTATTATGAGAAGCATATTTTGGTATTATAAACTGATTACATACCAAACAAGCCATACAGTTCACTTACAACTAAAATTTGGCCTTGTGGTTAAGGTCTTTTTCAACATAACCTCACCTACTGCACAGCAAATTAGTTCATGAACAGTTTTCAGTTACGTGAAAAGTCACAGGGATTTAAAAAAAAAAGAAGGGGTTCCCTGTACACAGCAGTGACGCTGAAGAGAACACCAGTACCAGACACTGTGGAGTCCTCACCGTTGGCAGCAGTGGTTCAGAGCCCTGTGCCTGAAATTCTCCAGTGGCACACGTGTCCCACAGCCAAATCAGCACAGCCCTGGATACCTCCCTGCACTTTGCAGGTGTGAGGGCCAGCCAAGCAGGCACTAACCTCTCTTGATTTCACATGAATAACCACCTAGTCCTGAGGCTTGCTTAGAATAGTGCTCCAATAGATTATAAATTAAATACACATGAATGGGACTACTAATTTAAATTTTCAATTAAGCAAAGATTTTCAAACACGTGGGGTTGTTATAGTTCATTTGAGAATTCTTTTGCAGTTATGAAACTGCACTAAATCACTGCACCAAAGTGGAACACAGCCACCAAGTTTCATCAAATAAAACATCTGGACCAATAAAGCAAGTACTTCGTGAGCTCTGTGCTAGCCATCCTTGCAATTCTGAGTTGAGAATCATCAAAGGAAAAAATCAAGCTTGTAAATGCAACAACCAAGAACAGTTTAAAATTAATTTAATATAACACTAAATTAAACTTAATTCCATTTGGTGAAAACAATTACACCTCCCTCCTTACTCAACACCTAGATTAACAATCTTGAAATCACCTTTATGTAAACTCATAGCTTCAATAATTTAGTTTTTTAGTGGAACTATCATCATCACACTTATTTGGAGATGTCAACACACACTGACACAGTATTTCCCTAGGGCTACTGACCTCTAACCAAACCTTCCTCTGCTATCCACAACCCACTGTATTTTCCACCATGAAATCAAAGCACTCTATAGTCATGTGAGACAATACAAGCTAAAGCTTGACAAAAAATGAAACTACTGCTTGTAAGATCACAGGTGAAAGTCTCTTAAACTACAAAATACAGATTAGAAGTAACAAGAAGCATTCTGCCTCTGAGCTGATTCTTGCAGACAGCCAAGCACAGACAGCTCCACCAGCTAGCCTCTGCAAGCAAAGCCCCTTTGTGGCTTACACAACCAGAACCCCAAAGCATTGCTTGCTTGTTTGAGTCGTAGTTTTGCAGAAAAACATTAACTTACAAACTTTTTCCATGTTAAAGAAAAACACAGAGGCAGTTTTAACATCTGTAACTTTGAAGCCACCCTCAATTACATGAAAAGTATGCGTTCATGGTAAACCTCTGATGCCTTAGGTAAATCACTGAGTACCCTTTCCTTTCTCAATCCTAATCCTTTTCTTACATTTCTTTATCACTTTTCAAAAACTGATCTTCTATTTAGGACAAGAAAAACCATAGTGACAAAACAGTTCTCTGAGACCCACCTTCTGAATACAAAGCAAAGACACACCCATTTTCATATCAGTATGACAAAAGACGTATGAAACCCATCTGGGGCTGCTGCTGGAGTTCTTGAGAAAAACATTATCTCTCAGGAATATTTCAGGATAGATTGTGACATCCTCAATGAAAGAATATGCCAAATCAGAGAAAATAGGTGTGCTGAAGATACTGGAAGAATCAACAGGCCCAAACCTTACATCAAGGCTGAGCCAAAGCCACTCGGGAGGTGAAAAGGAAGAAGTACTATTCCATCAGAAGGAAAGCAACCAGCAAGGAAAGCCGCTGAGGAGACAACATAGTTGTTACTGACAGGCTCAGTTGTCCAGGTAAGCTACGACAGACGGCCCGAGGGAGAGCAGAGAGGTGAGAGCAGCTGCCAAGGGAAAGGCGGGATTTGTGTCCGAGAGGTGGTGCCCGCAAGCCCGAGGGAAGAGATACCTGTGCGGTGCCGGAGGGGGGAGGGAGGTGGGCAGTGACAGCCGGGCGGTGGCAGAAGGCCGGAGCGGCGGTGAGGGGCGGGGCGGCACCTGGCCGGGATCCCGGGCGCGGGGGGGCAACCGGGGCGCAGGGCGGCGGGGGGCCGGCAGCGCTTGCCCAGACAGGGGTGGGTGGCACAAAGCGCAGGGAAGCCCCCGTCCGCACTCACCTGGCGCCGGTCTCCTCCGCACCTCCTCGGGCGCACCATAGGGGGGCCGCCACGGGCCGGCGGGGTAGCAGCGCGGAGCCCCGAGCCCGCTCGGGCTGCCCTCTCTCAGGACAGGGCAGGGGACCGTACGCGGGGCACTGGCGGGTCCAGGAAGGCTCGAGACGGGGGCAGGGATCCTCCCAGGGCGCCGCTGCTGCCCGCGGTGCCTGCAGACCCCCGGCCGGCCCGCCTCAGCCGCCGAGCCCGGCCGGGCGCGTCAGGCATGGTCGGCCTTGGCGCTGGGGCCCGCAAACCGGACGGGGGGCGCGCGCAGCGGCCCCTTTCTCAGCCCGGCTGGATGTCTCGCTCTCCGCTGCTGTCAGAGCTGGCCGGCGGGCTTCGGCGGTGCGCGGCCCACCCTTCCCCGGCTGGCGCACGCTCTGCTTGTGCCCCGCTGTTGCGGCGCCGGCCTGCCTGCGCCGCCTGGCCCCCGCCGCGCACCGGCCGCCAGCCCGCCGCTTCGGGCCAGCGCCGGCGCTTCGCGGCGCGCCTCGGCGCGTGCGCCCGAATCTCGCGCGCAGCCTCCCCCCGCGCAGCCGCCGTTTGGAATTCTGCGCACGGCGGACTGACGCCCCATTGGGCCGCCGCCGCCGCACGCGCCACTCGCGCGCCGGGCGGGGGGGCGGGCCTCGCGCCGGCGGGCGGGCGTGTTGACGGGGCGGGGGGGGGGGGGGTCCTCCCGGCGCGGGGAAGCCCCGTAAACGCCCGCCGCCGAGCGCCGCGGAGCGCTCCCGGCGCCCGGCGAGCAACGGCGGCGCCTCCCGAACGGGAAGGAATGAAAAATAACGGCGGGGCCGCCCCGCGCGGCAAAACCGAGCGTCTCCTTCGAGCCGGAATCGAACCAGCGACCTAAGGATTCCCGCGGGCTGCGCCTCTACAGTCCTCCGCTCTACCAGCTGAGCTATCGAAGGGAGCTGTGGAGTACTCCCGCTCCAAGATACAAAACCTTGCTTCCCGCCACCACCGGTAATGCGCGTCGGGATCCCCTTCCCGGGAGCTGGGCCAGGATCCCCTCCCCAGGAAGAGACGGAGCGTAAAAACCCGGTGGGGACCGAGACCCGGCGGCTTCCCGCACCTCCGCGGGCCGCTGCCGGCGGGGCCGGTGAGCGCAGGGATTGCGGCGCTCCCGGCCGTCCCGCTCCCGCGCCGGGCGCGATCTGTCTGGCAGTGCGAAGGCAGCGCTT